ATTGATTCCATAACATACTGCAAAGACTTTCTAGTATACATAATACAATTCTGTTAAATAAATTTAAAGTTAGTGAGTATACTTTTTTTTGCGATTACTAGCAATTATATGTGGACAGGACTGTGCAGCTGTGTCCTGAAATAAAGCAGTTAAATATTTGTTTTAAGAGTAGAAAATTTGCGGAAATAATTTTCAATTAAATGAATCTAACTCTTATTAGTGTACTATGCGGTCAAGGAAAGCTCTTTGGCCATCTTACAATAGCTGGGATACAAAAGTCACCACTATAAGAAAACTCAAAAATCCTCAATAAGAAGTTTTTAGTTGAAAATATTGGATGATTGGAGGGCTTAAAACAAGGGATTTGTCTAGGCTAGTGGCTTTTAGTATAATTCGAGTCAGTAGCTATCAGCTAACTTTTATGCTCACAGATCATAGAATATATATAATAAAGCCAACCTGCGGTATGCAGCTCGTCAGCTGGTTGTTAAGAACGTCGCGTTCTCTTTCTACTTCAGACAGCCTCGTTCGCGAATCGGACAGCTGATTTTGTGCATCTCTGAGACCTTCCATCAAACGATCGCGTTCATCCAGCATGCTTATCAGCATTTCTTCTATATTTGCGCCCTCAACACTCGCTTGTGATTCATGTTCACCCTGAAACAAACCGATGATCATAAAGATGCAAAATCTAATGAAAGCCCTTAAGTAAACCGTTAAATTTGACATCCATTTCAACCTGAGTAATCTATATTGACCACTTGTATTTTAATTAAGCAATTCTTTAAATTTGTCATAGATACTGAAGCATGCATACATCCAATGAAAATAAAAACCAACAGCCCTATGAGCTATCGATAAATCCGCTTGAGTCTACTACAATTTATGTATATTCCTATTCAGTCCATAGACTTTATTTGCTGTAGCAAAAGCTGTGAAAAAAGAGAATATTTAACCTCTTTTTTCAGAGCATTTATTTATACTTTTGCCGTATTACGACGATGAAATATATAATAGAGTTAAATTCTTCATAGCCCTCTGCCTGATGATGCCAATTATGATGTCTGCGAAACCTCTGGGAATGTACCAAGTCAACAGACCGATAAAGAACATTATCATAATTAACATGGTGGTGGGAGCAGAACTGGGTACGTTCTATAAGACCTCTCTTTTTCTCATGTAAATTGAAAAACAAGGTCACACAAAAAAATATTAAAACTTTCGTTAATAAGCTCTCTTTATATTAAGTTACTGAGGTTTCGTTAATAGAATGCTTATGAAATATAATATCACAAAAAGCGAATCAGCTGAAGTTACTGGAATAATCTCAGTTAATTGAGAAATACAAAGTTTCTTGGCCAACAACTAGAAAATGTAAAAGTCAAGACTTAGCTTTTAAGTTATATGCAGCATATAAAATACATCAGTAATATAACTGCGATATGGATCCTATTAACATTATTAAATATTAGAATTTTAGTAATCAAGCGATATAAAACACATATAAGATGAAATTTTTATTTTTTATTAGTCATTCAAGAGATGAGCAGACGTCAATAAGTGGAATAGAAAACTTAGCTAGAAACGCGATTAAAAAGGATACCTTCATTTGACTAATCTATTAAGCAGCAAAATTAGATCTTTAAATAGCATGGAAAGTCC